TTTTTGGCTTCAAAAATCGCCAAGCCTTTCGGTAAGAGTATACAGGAAAAACGCGTCACAGCAATGCAAAAGTACAGTTAAATACCGGTTGGTAGGGCTACAACATGTTAAGCTATCTGATCATCCGATGCCTTGCGTACATGCTTGCAAGACAAAGTATTCGATATACCGATCAACGGAGACTTTGTGTTAGCATCGTTTTTTTTACGTAGACCTAAAAACTTGTCGAGAGATGGGGTAGAACAAAAATAACTCTAAGAACATTAAACATTTTGTTGAAAAAGGTGACCAAGTTTGGTTAGTATATGCACTAAACGAGGGGACCTGAAAGTAAATACGCAGAATATAGTATACTAATTCAGCCCTACGTGGGCACTGCATATCTAAGTTCTTTATATACAACAATGAACGAGGTCTGAAAATACATTTACAGTGGCAAGTGAGATAACTGCCCGCAATCAATTAGTTTAAAATACGATAAAAATTCACTGGCACTATAAAAGCAATACCATCCGACGGACAATGAGATAAGAAAGGAGTTTTACTTACCGGAAGACGTCTCTATCATCGTATTGAATACGAAATGCCGCATTATGTACCGAATTTTCAAACAACCGCAATTCACAGACCACTCGTTACTCTAATGCCCTACATCTTCTTTATTAAATTGAAGTCGAGGAAGTGGTACACTATCAGGAGTCAACACCGAATGCCTGTGGTGGCTCAAAACTCCGGTCATTAGGAAGAAAATACATACAGCTCTCGTTGATCGACTAGCCCTTAATGGAAGTCTGCGAAAAAAATAAACCCTCGTCTCATGCTTCGCGTATACGTGATAAAATTCCCAGAAATAATTCACAGGAATGCATTTAATGGGATATAACGGGTAATTGTCCAGGATCGGGTAAAAGGAAAGAACACATTTAAGAAAAAAATTTACAAACACCAGAGATAGTAGAGAAACGAACCGTTCCATGACAGTTGAAACAAAGGCTGTCTGTTTCAATTATTTCAGAGGCGTCATCGCCTCCAAGTCTCTTTATCACAGTCCGATCGTTCGTAGACATAATTGTGGCGAGTTGGGCTTTCGCGCATGCAGCATGCTCAAGCGACCTTCAATCGTGAAGCGGGTTAGGTTCAATCAGTATTAGTCAATGTATTTGGAGTAAATGAGAGAAGTCCTTAAAAGCTCAATTGAAACAGTGCAGGAATGCATTAAATGTTGTGATATATGCAGAATTCGTAAAAGGTCGCTTTTTGAAAAAATTCATAAATGTATTTAGAAGTCATAAATGGTTGACAAGTTGAGACTTTTGCGGACAAGCAGCGTATAAAATGTCCACTGCATATCCACTATAAAATATTTGTGAATTGAAATCAAACGAGTAGTAATTTCTTTTAGGTGTGCATTGGACAATTTTCATTAGCAATTAATAGGTGGTTATCCAGATGTCCCTTGAACACCTTCACAGTGGGTGAATACACAACAAACTCTGGCAAGGAGTTCCACTGTCGAACTGCTCTTTGAGAGAAGGATGAACGTTGGTTTGTGCAACTCAGTTCCCTCTTCAACTGGCAATCATACCTTCTGTGGTTCCTTCTTGGGGCCATCTGAAACAGATCATCCCACTTGAATCAAGAACAGTTCCCCTTAGTAACTGAAAATTTGCTATAAGTTCACCTCTGTCTTGTCTATATTGGACTAGGAAGGAGGTCTAAAGCAGTTTAACGCTTTTTGTACGTGGCCTGCCTAAGTTCAGGAACCGACTTATTAGCACGTCTTTGGACACCTTCAAGTATCCCTATGTCTTTCTTAAGCAGAGACTGCCATGCCGCACGCATTTTCAACATTTTTTAGAAGATATCTCCATTCAATTAACAAACATTTTTTCTGTGGCGCTCACAACAAACTTTGCTCTCGCTGCGACTTTGGAGCACTGTTTTTGACATTAAGGTTGTCTTTCATAAGTAGACTACGGTCTCTTTGCAGACTCATGGTTTGAAAAACTCGGGGTTCTAAAAGATATAGGTCAATGGCGAAACAGAACATTTTTTATAGAGACATCGACCCCTTCTATTTATGTAGACGCCGGTAGCGATCACGGGGAATCAAAACCCCTAAATATCTTAGTGGTCCTTTTTGGGAACGTGCACGACTAAAGAACAAGAGTTAAGTATTAGGGTGATCAGGAGAAATATGGGATACTGGGAGCTAAAAGGAGGATGATTATAATAAGGTTTATTCTTAAAGCACATCTTCGGTGCCGTCAAAACCCCGGAAGGCAGAAAAAAACCTAACACAAGCCCATTATCGGGTGGAAACATACGTAGATCCTTATAAGGTTTCATTTTCCGCATGTACCTTATCCATCTAAATTCATCTGTATGATTGGTTAAGTAAACTAATGAACACACCTGTCAACTCCAACTTGGACGTAGTGACTTCTGAGACTGTTGTAGCAGTATGTTTTTCTTGATTTATATATTCTATCGTGATCAGTTCTCTCCGTTCATTTGTTCCCCACTCTCGTCCCACAATCATAGCTTTGCTGGACTTCCTAAAAAATCTTTGGCAGGTAGGATTAGTGAGGCCAAGCATTTTTTTAAAACTAAAAAAACTACTTCCTACTTCTCAGTAGGCATACTATTTTTCGTCCGGCACGGTTGGACTTAGATGCAGGAGTTGGTTCGCGCGCCAATTTTTAGTCCCTCAGCTCGC